TGTTACCACAAGGCTAAATTTGGGCTAAGATAGCTGTGTCAGACTATGCTCAAAAACACGAATCTCCTAACTCCTGACCTTGTACACGAACACAAAGACAATCTCTTCTAGTATAATATGTGTAAACTGTATGCATAATACTTTCTAACATGGAGTCCTTCAACAAAATGTATAGCACCTACAGGGTGTGTCTGCACAGCAGGGCTTAACTCGAAATAAACTAAGCAAATTGAACTACGTCAATTGCATAGCTTATTTCAAAATTGGGAGCATCTACACAGCACTTATTTAGAAATAGAGACTCTTCCTCCGACTTCCCTGTGAGGGGGGTGCGGTCTCAGAAGACCCCTTTTGGTGCCTCCCAGGGTGCTGACACGGCCACTGCCACTCGCCTTCCCACTCTCTGGGGCTCTTCACTGCCTGGTCCTGCCAGGCCAGCTCCCTGGTCTCCCCCAATCACGGCCCTGAGCTGAGATCTCTGACCCCCAAGAAGCAGTACAGTTACTGAACCTCTTCAAGTTTGATTAGAGTGCAGTTTAGGGCCCAGCTCTTGGGATACCACTCCCCAAATGACATCAAACCCCAAAGAATTAGGTAAGTCACCTTTAACAATGAAAGGGGGAATGTGCACACTGATTGCTCTCCCATGTAATAATTGCTTACACTGGGTTTGATAGAAAATAAAAGTGATTTTATTAAGTACAAGCAGTAGGATTTGAGTGGTAATAAGCGAGAACAGGCAGAGCAAAGTAGATTACAAATCAAAAGAAACAAAAATGCTTGGCTAATTCTACCCTGGAACCTCAGTGCAAACTTTTCAAACTCACCCTAAAACATCTTTTCCAGCTGCCCTTGCAAATCAGGGCTGTCTCCCCACCCTGGGGTCTTCAGCTCCTTCCTGCAGGTGCAGCCCAGCCAAAAGACCAAAGGCTCCTGCCTTCCTATTCTTTTTAAAGCATTCCCTTGTTCTATGGGGAATCCCTAAGGACTACTGCTAAGCCTTAAGGACAAAAGGCTATTTGCATATTACTGCTGAGACACTGGGGTCCCAATTGATGGCTTTCCATTTACACATTTAAAAATCATAAAGTATTCCCTACTCCATATGTCTAATTTTACACACAAAAATGATACACACATCAAAGTAAGATAAACAGAATCAGCTGATCATGACATGAAGATTGATAGGTTACATGAAATAATTTGCTCCAAGCACCTTTGAGTTATTTATATTAATGTTTTTGGGGGGGGGGAAGGGGGAGGGAAGGGATGTCCATCACATTCCCTTACTCCTTGTACAATGAGGGTTGCAGGAATCAGAGTAAGAAGTCCTCCAGCATGACAGTATTTTGACTTTATTTTGAAATAACTGCCTGCTGTGTAGACATGGACTAAGTATGGACGAAATAATGTGGCTGTGTAGACGTACCCACAGTTTTTGGTCTGATTCTGCAGTTTCTCCATGTGTGTCCCTTCCCCTGATGTCAATGGCAGCTGTTTGATATGAGAACTTCAAGTGCAGCCTGTAGATCCTAAAAGCATCGCTTTCCATTCAAATAATTGGACAAATTGGTGGCAGATATGACACAAATTACAAGACACTATCAAATACATTTGCTACTGGAAAACATATGTGCCATACAGTGAAACATATCAAAATTATTTTCTCTACATCTGTGACAATTTGGCACAATACCAGTTTGCAATGTGAGACATCTCTAGGCACAGAGCTACTGGAAAAGTTCTTGAAGCATTTTTGAATTCTTTGTCTTGAACCAAAATGTTGCTCTTTCCAGTTTCCCCCCAAATATACGGAACTTTAACAGTCCAAAGGCAGCATTAATTGTGATCTCACAGTCTAATCTCTCCCCAAATTATTCCTGACCAAAGCAGGAGCATGTAACTGCTGTCCATAGCCTCATAGCCAGAACAAGGAGTATATGTGCCAAATTTCACAGATCATGCTTCTGACCAGCCACTAGAATGGCCTGGTTCTACTTGCCAAAGAATACTTGCAAAGGCATCCTCTCCATGACTTTTTCTGAGATCCTTAACTGATGTGAAAATTTACCACCCCATATTTTCCCAACTCCACTCAGTTTCCTTTGGCATCTCATCAGGAGCAAATGCCACACACAGTCTAACACCTAATATCTCCTGGGTTTTGTATGCCTTCACAATGATTGTACTCTCTGCTTGCCTTGTTTCAAAACTGCAAATACAGAGGGAGGACATTTGATTCAGTACATTGAGCAAGCAGAGTTTCCCCCCTTGCTGAGAAGGAACCAAATATATCTAGCCTAAGTGATTCTTGCCAGGTTTTTTACTAACCTCATCTTAAAAGCTCCTAATGACAGGGATTCCACAGTGCAAATAATTCACTGAGCTTCATTCATCTTTATTTATGATAAAACCTAGAGGTTGAAACAACTGAGGCCCCATTGTATTCACTGTATGAATGCATAGAAATGGGCAGTCCCTGCTCCATTTCCCAGTCAAAACAGATTAGAGAGACAAAATGTGGGAGAGAGGAACTATAATTACAGATAGGGAACTGAAGCGCAGAAAAGTGATCTGTCCAATGAGACCCAGGAAACTTGTCACAGAACTAGGGGTAAAGCCAGGTTTCCTGAGTCCCTACTTAGTGCCTTACCTCAGGGCTATCCACTCTCCAAGACTATCTTCCCTTCTAACATTCCTTCTTCTAACATTGTTGTTTTGAAGAATCTCCCTGATCATGAGCTTAAAGGGAATCCAAGAAGAATAGAGAAAGTGCTAAGACTGAAAATCAACCACTTGTGCTATTTTTGTTCGAGTCTCCCTTTTCATCCTTCTGTGCAATCCAGGTCAGGATGGATCCAACAGGATCAAGGGGTTGGGTGCATGATTTTATGGGACTGCTGCATCAGTTTGCATTATGATCTGGATTTTTTATGTGCACTGGGAGTTTTTATTTCCACCCTTTATTTTGTTTGAGTGGGGTTACATTCAGATGCCAGTTATGCATTTTTCTCATGATATTAGGCTGGGGTGCATTAGGATCTAGATTTTTTTTAGTGGAATAGGAGTGGTTATGCTTATTTTCCAGTTAGATCTCCCCATCCCCTACATGAATGTTGTAAAAACCTGGATCTGGCTCCAGCTGGATTTTGGGCATATTTGATATCAAGTCCCACATTCTACTATCTGCTTGTTTTTTTGGTGGAGTAGGAGGAGCTACTCTTATTTCTTCTTCCTGCTGTGTTTTTTTTTGAGGAGGATTTCTTCTTCCTGCTGTGGTTTTTTTTTTTTTTTTGAGGAGAGTAAGGGCTAAAAGTGGATGGATCTGGTAGGATTCAAATCCATATCTGGGGTTTCGTAATGCTCTGCATAGTGAGCAGCTAGACTTATTTCTCTGTAGGAGCATTACAATTTGAGGCCAAAGTTTGGCAGGATTCAGGTAATAGATCCAGGGTTTTGCAATGTTCCTGCTCCAGGGAGCACTGAGTCAACAGTGTGTCCTTGTAGTTAAGAAGGCTAACAGCATATTAGGGTGCATTAGGAGGAGCATGCCAGCAGATCTAGAGAAGCGATTTTTCCCATTTATTTGGCTCTGGTGAGGCCACATTTGGAGTGTTGAGTCCAGTTCTGGGCCTCCCACTATAGAAAGGATGTGGATGCATTGGAGAGGGTCCAGCAGAGGGCAACCAAAATGATTAGGGGGCAGGTGCACATAGCCTACCGGGACAGGGTGAGGGATTTGGGCTTATTTAGTCTGCAGAAGAGAAGAGTGAGGGGGGATTGATAGCACCCTTCAACTTCTGGAAGGGAGGTTCCAAAGAGGATGCAGAGCTGCTATTGCCAGTAGTGACAGACGACAGAACAAGGAGCAATGGTCTCAAGTTACAGTGGGGGAGGTCTAGGTTGGATATTAGGAAAAACTATTTCGCTAGGAGAGTGGTGAAGCACTGGGATGGGTTACCTAGGGAGGTGGTGGACTCTCCATCTCTAGAGGTTTTTAAGTCCTGGCTTGACAAAGCCCTGGCTGGGATGATTTAGTTGGGATTGGTCCTGCCTTGGGCACGGGGCTGGACTCAATGACTCCTGAGGTCTCTTCCAGCCCTAGGATTCTATGATTCTAGGGTGGATTGGATTTCCCGCAACCCCCCCCCCTCCAATAAGAGCAGTAGGTCTGCTTTACTGTTATGAAGCAACACATTGGGAAATCATGGCCAAAAACCAGCAGGAGCCAGGTAGATCCAGCTGTTCACTGATGTTGTGTGCCACACTTATTCCTTGATTCCATTTGAAATTCCCAGTGCCTCTTGAGCGGCATAGATTTTCTTTAAAAAAGACAGCCCTCGGCACGGACCCGAGCTCTCCCTTGTATTAGCCAAGGTATGTATTATTCAACTCTGGCATATTTCTTTCAATAATAACCAGCAGGAGCCAGGTAGATCCAGCTGTTCACTGATGTTGTGTGCCACACTTATTCCTTGATTCCATTTGAAATTCCCAGTGCCTCTTGAGCGGCATAGATTTTCTTTAAAAAAGACAGCCCTCGGCACGGACCCGAGCTCTCCCTTGTATTAGCCAAGGTATGTATTATTCAACTCTGGCATATTTCTTTCAATAATTAATATATGAACACAAAAAGAAACAATG